TTTTGTTTGTCACTGGGAGCTTTCCACTTCCATTACTACATTACAAGGCAAACCTTGACAACCAATCTGTGCTGCCCTAGTTACTGGGTACTGGTTTACTGGTTACGGGTTACGGGTTACGGGTCCTCGCCTGGCGACGGGCGACGACTCTCCCTGGGAGAGCCCTGAGCATATCCTCACTCCCATTTGTTGCCCCTCCGCCCTCTGCAGCCCCAGGCCCAGCGTCAGGCGATCTCGGCACGGGCTGAAAGGAAACTCTCTTCTCCATTTTTCTGAATCCCCGTAGCCGAGACTCAACCTCCTCGGCACAACTTCTAGCTAAGTCTTTCCTTGCTGAGACACAGCTTCTTTGATTCTTTGAGCTCAGCTCAGGGGATCTGCTTTGAATTGCTGCTGCTGTTGTGTTTGTGACTCGGGCCCTGCTGGATGTTTTAGGTTTCATCAAAAATCTATGGCCACAACTTTTGCTGATCTTGCCAGCGTGGAACCGCTGGCTGTTTGTCGTTGGTTCGCCTCGCACGGCTCCGATTTCCCCCTCCAAGAATCGTGAACGACCGGACAATGGGAAGCTGAAGGTCTTTGTACAGATTACACAAGGAAGCTTTAGATGTGCCACACAGCTTTGCCACTGGCGGTATTTTTTTTTACTTTTTCTTATCTATTTATTTTCTTTATTTTCTTTTATTTTCTTAATTTTATTTGATTCCTTTTTATTTTGGCGCCAGTTCGTTCGCTCCCAGTTGCTTTGTTTGGCATTCCGCGCCGCATTGTTTCAGAGCGAGCTTGGTGGTCTGACAAACTGCCCGTCCACAGTAACAGTACAGTAGTTACGGAGTAGTACAGAGTAACTTGTAACGAACTGTTTATTGTCTCTCTGTTTCTCTTCACCCTGCCCTCTTCCACGCCAGTAGCATGACTGATTCCTACCTCCCCAAGGCTGACAGCTCCGTGTCACATTGACTACTTTACGAATTCGTTTTGCTTTGAACAACGCATCTCCATAAATTTCTCCAGAAACCAAAGAGGGGTTTTTTTTTTTTTTCTGTTTTACAAAAAGTAAATGGATAAAAACTTTACTTTTACTGCCTGGTGCAGTGCCTCTGGGTGTACATCCACCAAACAGAGTCTCTCTAGTTGAATCATCCCCTTCTCTCTCTCTCTCTCTTTTTAATTTTTTTTTTCTTCTTTTACACCTTTTAGTGAGCCGGGAGGTTTGAGGAGAACTGTCGAGAGCAACTTCCGTAAATCCGGAATTCGATATTCGTTTGTGAACAATCCATCTCGGTCTAAGTACCTTTGGTGGGTGGGGGTTGTTTGGCTGAAAACCTTTTTCCCTCCACCCCCTTTTTGCGTGGAAGTGGTTCGTTCCCAAGATCTTGAAAATGCGCGCTCAAGACAAAAGTACGGTAGGGTAGGTCTTTCGCTGGCAGGCTTCATAATCCTCCAGAGAAGATCCAACAGAGTACTAGCTAGGATTTTCCATTCATCAAGCCCGGAGCTTCTCTTTTTCCAGCGGGTCGATGTTTTTTTTTTTTTTTTTTTTTTTTTTTTTTTTTTTTTTTTAACGTACGTTTGAAATGCCATGTGTGCTGGAGGATGAGCAGGAGGAGGATATATCCGCCAACAAACGCCCGTGAGAGAGACTAACTAACCAATACGCAGTAGATGTCAGCAGGTACGAGACACCCTTCAACAGCTGAGAAGGAAAAATCATGTGCTGTACATGATATATATCTAGAATCGGTTCCGCCCGTGGTACTATTATTCTCCTTCGTCCAAGGAAAAAAAAAAAAAAAAAAGGCTCTGGACGCTTATATCATCATAACATCTTTGAAAGTTTAGCCCGGGCGATCCTCGAAATTATACACGAATGCATGAGGGGCGATTTGAGAAGCCCTCTCTCCCCAAAGAAGAAGGAAGAAGCAAAAAACGAAAAACACTATCTACTATGGTTGGCGAGAGGTCCTCTGCCCCCTCCTACCTAACCAAAATATTGTGGCAAATAACAGGAGCTGTGTACTTAAGGCAATGATGGCTCAGGGCTCCAAGAAGTCCTTCCTTGGTCCATTAGCAAACGGGCGCTGGCCAAAAAAAAAAAAAAAAAAAAAGGGCAGCAGGGATGAACGCTGGACGGCGCTAAACCCCAGGCATGATTGCCCGGGGACTTCCGCCGGGACATCAGCCGGCGGGCGCTTGTGGATCACGCTAATCTTAGTTTGGTTCAACCGTTACTGGAACCTGGCTTGGTGGTATTTTTGCTGCTGGGAAGCGTCCGTTTGTTCTGTCCCGCTCTCTCCGAATAAGAATGGGGGGGGGGGGGGGGGGTTTTTTTCTTGGGGCAGTTCCAAGGATGCTATCTGTTGCTTTCATAGCGGTTACCTCCTATCCTTTCTCCTAGCCCTCGCCTAGGATATTATCGACAGCCGAATCTGAATTCTATACCTTATCGTAACATGGACTCGATGCGTGGATTGATTGTTGATGGTCGATCGTGGCTCCAGCTCCATCTCCATGATTCATGATCTTACTCCCATCTGCTGATAATCGATTTTTGAATGCAGGCTGGCTCTATACTATATTTTACAGATATCTTCATCATCATCATTTCATACCAATGATATATTCAGACATCCATACATATCTTTCCGGTACAAGGTCACAGATATTCATTGCCCCCGTCAAGAAATAACAACTGGTGAAAGCCAGCTGTCCCATACTCCAACCGTTATCAAAAAAAAAAAAAAAAAAAAAAAAAAAAAAACCTCGAAAACACAGTTGTCAATGATCCCGCTTCTCTCACACCGGCCGCCTGTCAATGTTTGTTGACTTATGGCTAGTATAAATATACGGGTTGTGAACCTACACTGAACTTCGCATTCCAGAACTAGAGTCTTTAGGTCGTTTTCGGATCGACCGCAGTGTCTCTTCCCCGGTACACTCTGGATCATTGGATCATTGGATATTCAGTCATGCACATATTGATCTGCGTTGGGAGGAATTCGCGAATTCGATAGGAACCTAGATAACGAAAGATGTTCGGAGAGCTGATAATTTGGCCGAGTATATGGGCGCCTTGTGCAGTGAAGAAGTATGCACCC